GAATTTGTTTTAAGTGGGTCTCTCAGCGATTGTTTCCTCGACGAACTGATAACTTATGTTGTAGACCGAATCTCTGTTCGTTAGGTTCGCAATCAGATCGAATAGACGATTCCATCAAAAATCTTCGAAAACTGAAGTGTTTTTCTAATGGTTTCTTTCGTTTCTTGAACATATTCTCGCTGCTTTGTATCATTCTTCTTCAATAAGCCTTCAGAATCTTATGCAATCCGCAAATCAGATGGCAACTTTGCCCTTTTTTTTGGCACTTTGTTGGAATTTCGAGTTTTCTGTTTTGATGAAATGTATACTTTTGCTTTCAGCATAAAAAGTTTTCACCATATTTTGTGTAATCAAGCATGAAAGCATTGTTCCGCCTAGGAAAATTGGTCTGAGTGGTATATTGTTTTGTTCGTTTCATTGTTTCTTGATCTCTTTAACCTATTCGTTGCCGACTCGCTTGCCTTGAAAATGGTCGTCGTTTTTAATGTTAAAATAGCTTTTAATTTATTGGTTATCGATGTTGCTGTTAAGCATTTTCTTCGACGTTATTGTCTTTTTCATTTGCAGCATTTCGGTCGATCAGATGGGACCAAGTCCAGTTGACAACGATATACCGATGAACAATTCCGATGCAGGTCGGCAAAACAGTAGTTCAGGTGAGCCGTGCGCCTTCTTTTACTTCGAAAAAATTTTTATCAATCCCTTTTCGCTGCTTTATATTGAATGTTGGTATGTGATGAATATGTTGGTTGTCTGCGAAAAAGTGGTTTTTCGATTGCATCACATTAATAGACTCTTCAATGTCGGATAGTTGCATGTAGTTCGGGTGTTGAAGTTTTGTCTCAGATGAAGATTATGAGCGAGATGGATGGCATATTGGATACGAAGTGGAAATGAATGGAATTGGTACTTTGATAGATAATGGTTCAATTGATAGTATAGGTATGAATCATACATCTGTTGCAGCGTGAAGCATTTTTGCCATTTCCTTCATATAATCATAAATGGATTCCGGTAGTGTAACATGAGCGAATTTTGATAATTTTTTGACTCCATTAATGCTTTATAACGACTTTTCTATGTTTTTGTCGAATGAGAAATAATTCAGCTGATCTAAGAACCTGGTTACCTTGAACATAAAGGAATTTTCTGGGAATTTGCTCGAAAAGTTTGATGGAATCAGGTAGCGATTTGAAATCGTTCTCGCCGAGAGATCTCAGTTGAAATGTGGTTCTGAATCGATAATATATAAACTCTGAATTTTTAACTTTTCATTTCTGTTGCTTCAGTGAATCTTTCGCCATTAAAAGTATTGTTCGTGAAGCAGTTAACGAAGTGTTGTTCGTTTAGAAACGTCAAGTTTTACGGGATCGGATAGCGATGCGACTGATGCAGACTCGGACAGTCGTTACGCTGGATATGAGGCGCTTCCAACGGCTGCCTCAGAAGTACGACAACACCCCGATGCGCAACAATACCTTTCAACAGTCTCAGCTGTACCCATGTCAGTTCATCAACAATTTGAAGAGGTTATTACTGAATTAGATTCGACAAAAATGTTCGAAACGCCTGAATTTTCAAACTCATTTCTTTCTAAACCGCTTGTGCAGTTTCAGGCTCTAAGTGAGGCGCCCGAAATTCACCTGAAGGATTCAGACATCCCATTGGAGCATCAACCACAACCGATCGAGCTCGATGAAGGCACGTGAGATCAGTCCTGTTTTTCTGTTTCATGCATTAATTTTGGCTTGAATACAACCGCTATCGTGGAAGTGTTCTGCCTGAACGAGCAAAGTCTGTTTATATGGGCATCAATAGGGAATTTTTAGTTACTGTTCGAATATCGGCCTCAAGTCAGCTCGTTTAGCTTAGTTGCCTAGTATTGTGTAATCTTATTGTTAGCAGTGTAAACTTATTTCATATATTCTTTTATTTTATACACTTCATTCGTTTAAATTTATTTCGTAACTTTAGAAAGTCTCATTTTTATATGTAATATCTTATTATTCATATTGTATTCGTATTCGAATTCAGCATTTTTTTCAATTGGATTAGTGCAGTTTGTAGGAATTTTTTGAATTTTTAAAGTAGTTGTTTTTCAGAGAAATTAACAATTATTAAGAACACAATGCAATCATTCACATTACCTGCACCGTCTTGGGCGAATGGATTGCAAACCGACGAAGAGCTGAAAGAAATTCTACGGCGAATCTCAGCAAAGAAATGATTCTTCATTGTACTTGAATGATTTTTTGAAAATTTCACATTGTGAAGTCATTGAATAATTTTTTATATTTGTATACATTATTTGGTCTTCCGATAAACTCAATTTATGATTTGATAACTTTCAAAGTTGTTCTGCTTGCTTCGTTCTTCTTCCATCGTTGGTCGTTCCTTGTAATTTTTCTCCCTCTCCTGTTATACTGATTTCCGTCTTTTTCTGAGTGTTTTATTATTGCTCTCTGCAGCTATTACTCCGGTATTTTTTTCAATTTTCTGTTGTTATCGTTTCTGCTGTGATAATTCTGTCATTTGATTCAAGCATCTCAAACAAACTTCTATGTTTCATAGGATAACACTGATAATACTACGCTTTTATCACTGCTTAGTATTTCTGAATGAATTAGTTCCAAATAGTCTAAATGAAGAGTGAGTGCAAGTTTACGGAAGGTTTCAAGGAGATTCATGTGATTCTGGGAGGAAGGTGATGTATTTTGAGTAATTTGATTGGCTTTAGGGAAATTTCAGTTGATACAGCTAAGAATTTCGAATAGTCCGGAAAGAATTTTGAAGGAAGACTGCCGCAAATTACGATAATTTTATGTGTATTTTCAAACCTCCCCAATACTGTGATTTCATAAGTTTGATGGCTGTCCGTGATTCATGAAAACTATGAAATATGTAATGTGTTGACCTATTCAGGATTTTGCTGTCTCTGACATTTCGATGAATTTTGGTCTTCCAGACTTTGTAATCGAATAAAGTAATCTCATCCATCGCAAGTGTAAATCGCCTACGATCACTTTCTACGTAAACATAATAGTGAAGTGACGTTTGAATAGGATGTCGTTAGAAGGCGATAGAAACGTGAATATTTTCCAAATAATACTCTATCATCGGTCACTCCAGTACTCAACTTCCAACATTCAAGTTTAATCGAAATTATCAGAATGGAGCCCAGCTTGAGAAATTTGGCTTTAATTTAGATCAGAAGCAGTGAATGTCCAAAACTGAACTAAAGCTTAATTCTACCGTATCTCATCACTGTATCGGCAGTCGACTGTCGCTTTGATGAATGCATAAGTTGAATTTTTTGAGACCACTGATAAATGAGTTGTTATTGAACCGTAGAATAAATTGATCGAAAGTTGCAGCTTAGTGGAAAATGGTGAAGTTTGTTGTGGAACGGAGCAGTACGGCATTCGGACGTTTAGGTTTGATCACGGCTTGGGGTGACAAGCCGATAGAGCATCGAACTCCTTCGTGTATGTTATACACCCGATGTGGACACATACCTCATCTGACATGGGATGTTGTGAACGATTGGCTGCATCTCGCACAGCCACCCATATATCAACTGACTCTGCCTTCATTGTAAATCATTTGATCATCCATAAATCAGTTTTGTTTTCGATATATCGCCGGTGACGGCTCAAAATTCATTTTACCTTAAAACCTTGAGAGATCCTCAAATCAGAAAGAATCATGACTGATGCTCCGTCATACTGTAACTTCGAACGCACTTAAAGTCTCGTAGAGTCAAATTTTCTGTATCTCAAAGTATAGTTTTCCAATTGCAAGACATTTCTCCATGCCAACAGAACTAGTTCTGTGATTGATTATAGTTATGAATCTCTGTCGGTGATCGAAAAATTCGGTAAAGGTTATGCGGCTTTCTCTGCAATGCCCGTAAGTTATACTCATGTTGATGATTTCTCGAAAAATATTCATAATGTCCATCGGGAAGTGAAATATCCATAGTCGTTGCAGAATGAATCATTCGAAATATACTCGAAGTTTTGTAGTGACCTCACTGATGAATGCCACCCAATTTATCATATCGAAATGATGAGTCGTAATGGGAATATCGAAGACACGAAACCATAGAATTCTTCATAATTACAGTACAAACCTATGTTTCAGTAAGGTGGATCACACTATTAGCATAGGAATATTTGTCATTAGATGTGTACATTAGAGTAGCTAGCACTCACTCATGTCGCACTCTCATATTCTGATGTTTTCTATTGGTTTGTTCTTCGCTTCAGAAGAACGCTCCAACACATTTGTCGATTACGGATCCGATTGGTCAGATGGAATCAGGTTTCAACGATAATCGTTCGGTATCGATCTGGACGAAAGCCGGTCGACGAAACGTGAATTAATTGATTTTGATTGTTTGATTGTTTCGTCCAGCATAACATCTTGAACTGAAACCATAGAATTAAAACCATAGAATTATCACAAATTATCTGTAAACATCATAAATTCTTCTACATGGCATTGGATTTGGTCACTTCTGATGTTGAAATCTAAAATTTGCGTTCATAGATCAATGTGAAGATGTTGCGCGGAATAGTGGCCGCCTGTCGGCCGAGCTCCACGGAAACTCTGCTTGACTGTGACACGCCACGGGAGTGTGCCAATAAACGACTCACAAAGTCGGTGAATCGAACCGTTCAGTTCTATAAGGAACTGTTCGAGTATGATAAACCGTTAGAAGTTAGTCACTAATTCAGTTCTAGAAACGATATTTCAATTTCACTATTGATTTTAGAAATTTTCGAAAGCAATCGTTTTGTTGCTGCAAAATTGACGACTAATTTTAATAATACGCTGATTTTGCACTCAGCTGTCGAAATTGATATTTCACTGAATCTCTCTGAACAGTCAATGGAACAGAACAATTCAGATTCCAACGTTCGTCTCATTGGGTGGTGGCTTCAGTGCGTTTCATCGTGAACGCTCAGCTATCGAACTGGTACAAAGCAAGCAACGACAACAACAACAATCAGAAGATGCGAAGGAAGGACAGGAGTCAACCACGAGCGATCAAAATATGCCCACAGCGGCAGCGTTTGCCATCGATTTGATGCACTTTGCAGAACGACCCGTCAGCAAGTCGAAACGAATTGCGGAACGAAAAGCCGCAAAACGCAAGTCATCAATTACAAGCGACTCGTTAAAGAACTCACCACCGCCATCATCCAGAAACGATTCTCTCCCGCAGTCCAGTAAACGAGAAACAGACGGATCAACTAAACCGTCAAATGAAACGCCCGTAGCGACGATGCAATGTTCGCAAAAGAATTTAGTACCTAAAGCAAGCGATCATTGTGGTGTGGAACCTCAAACACAACAGCCAGAATCTGAAGTCGTTGAAGACAGCGTTCCAGCGGAACGGAGCGGCTCTCCAGAATCACCCGTTCACCTCGACAAACAAGAGCAACAACCATTGGTTAAAAGATTCGATGAGATGGAAATCGAGAAACTTTTAAGACGAGTTTTCGTAAGTTCAGCTGTTCAAAAATCTTCGATTGCAGCTGATTTACCGTAGATGTGCAATAATCAATTATTTTTGCGTAGAAGCGAATCGAATCCTCTGTAGTGAATGGGCGATTTTTATAAGAGTGCTTCTGAGATTATTCACCTCTCAAATTAATTCGCTTTCAGCCGTAAACTACATCTGCTAGAGATGAATAAGCATTATGAATAAGATCATATAGTAATTGAAGTTATGAATAGAGCTGGAATTAGTGTCATTCGGATAACTTTTAGAAATTTTCGTTATCCATTCACTCACTCCATTCTGACGGCTAGCTAACAGCTGTTATAATTTTGATGTGCTCTTCTTATAGTCTCATATTCCATCAACACATCTACGATACACAAGCGGTGCCTTTTCACCTGCTGAGGTGATTGCGTTGAGCCGTATCGGTATCGATCTGTTCGATTCATCCTATGCAATCATGTTAGCCGAGCGTGGCGAAATGCTGAAGCTTGGACCGAAATTCCCCGACGATCCCACTTTCATAGTGCTCAATTTCAGTGATAAGAAGTGAGTTTACATACAAAATTAAAGAAGTTATGAGGTATGGAATCAGTTCATGCAGGTAGCGTTATGATTTCATCTTCAGATTCGCCGACGATTTTAGTCGTCCGTTTGCAGACGACTGCAATTGCTATACATGTGCGAATTATACGAAAGGCTATCTTCAGCATTTGCATAATACCAATGAAATGCTTGGATCGATTCTGCTTGTGATGTGAGTGAGAGGATTTTTTAGGATTCCTTTCATCATTTTAGTGGTACTTATTTCGTTTACATAGCACGAGACAGTGAATTTGATCATTCATTAGATTGCGAAGTCAGCAGTTCAAATCGTAGTTGACCACAATATTGGGTATTCTTTAAAAGTCCATTATTTATTTAAATGAATAGATCGGATTTGAAGTATAATCGAGCAGGTATCTAGCTGAGAAATATACCTTTTATAAGTATTTATTTTCAGCCATAATATCCAGGAATATGAACGAATGTTCAGTCTGATAAGAAAGAGAATCGAAGTTACATCACAACTGGATTAGTAATTATCTCTAGATTGCTATTGATTTCGTTTCGATTGTCATTCGCATCTCATTGATATCTTTATTGTCACGCATTCCCATTGGTTTATTCCTAACTAATGTTGTAATTTTTTTTTCATTCATTATATTTGCTTATTCTGAAATAGTTGTTGTTTTTGAGTTGTCTCGAATCTCGTATTTATCATCTTTAAGAGAAAATATTGCGATCAAATGCATTGGTACCGTTCCGTACTGAGTGATACCACTGACTAGCCTTACGTTCTCTTTGAGAATGATGCATTCATTTCTATGGACTAGTCGTTTATCGTCAGAATTTTCGCCAACATTTCATTCATTCAAAGTCGAATACATCAATATTACTGCTATTATTTCTATTCATTCATCAATTAATTGCTGCATTGTTCCTTATGACCGTCAAATTGTTATGCTTATTCTTATAGAGTGACTCTAAGAAAATTTTCAAAATCTTTATGTTTCATAATTTGTTGTCATTGTTATTGTTGTTGTTGTTGATGTTTACAAAAGTATATAACGATTGATTGAATCCTTCCGTTTGATAAAGCAATTTCTATTTGATACTGAAACTATTTGTGAAACTATTTGTGTGGTTCAACAACTAAATGCCATCCATATATCTTGGTTTCCCAAAGGTTATCGGAATGATCTCCAATCGCTCTTATAACCAAAAAATTTTTTTGTTGACGCCATTTTTTCAAAAGGAACAAATCCGTTGGTTTCTAAAAATGTGTTTTGGTGATGATTTTGCATTCATTAACATATCAACGAAGATTGTTTTGTGTGTGAGTGATATCAGCATTGAGAGTTGCTAGTAACTTCTGCAAAATGCTTGTGGCTGAATTACTCGAGATTTCTGGTCAGAGTGTTCAAGTAGATTCATTTGATCGTTGGCGATTTTCTCATATCTGTGATTGTTTCAGGC